AACAAGAGAGGCAAGGACCCGAGGGACAAGGGGACGAGCGGCATGGAGGAAGTCAGACAACGAAGGAGGTGCAACAGCAACCGACGAGGGTGGAGGTCACGGGAGGAGGGGAGGACGAGACGAGCGGGAACGGAGCAACATAGGGTGGGTGGGCAGGACAGGAGAGACGGGACGAGCACGGGAGGGACGGCAAGCCCAAACGTGAGACAGAGGTGTAGGGTCAGGGGACAGCGAAGGGGACACAGGAGGGGAACGAGGAGGAAGACGGGCCGGAGACGAGTCCGGCGGCGGGAACACAGAACTGTAGAAAGGAAGGTCAGCAGGCGGTAGGGGGGACACCGGCGCGCGGTCCGGGGAGGGAAGGCCGAGCAGGCGGAGAGCGGAGACCGACGGCGACGGCTGCTGCGGCTACTGCGACAGCTGGGCCAGGACCCTCGGACCGGCAGAGGTAGGACGACCGTCGGCGGAACCCTCAACATCAGCACCCCCAGAACCAACACCACCAGAGCAAGAACCCCCTCCAACTCCAGTGGCACCCCTGGGAGCCGCACGACGAACACCCTCCTCAACGCCAGCACCCCCAGAGGCCAACGGCGGCGGCGACGGCGGCTGCGGCGGTGGCAGTGACTGCGACTGCGATGGCGGCGGCGGGGGCGGCGACAGCGACTGCGGCAGGGAACGCGAAGACACCGGGGAAGGGGGACACGGCAAGGACGGGCCGGGGTGACCACCTGAGTCAGCAGACTCCTCAACGAGGACAACCGACGGGAGGGGAGTGACGTGAGAGACACCAGACGGGGCAGGATGAGGCAGGAGAGGAGCAGGGGCTACCGGGGGAGAGGGAGCTAGGAACAGGGGCGGGGCAACCAGGACACCTCGGTAAGGGAAGCGGCGGTAGAAGGAAACTCATCAAAGGTCACGTCACGAGAGTGGAGGAAGCGGTGAGACGGCGGGTGGTAGAAAAGCGAGTCAGACGAGTCTAGGGGAAAACCGAGGAAGACACAGGGGACAGTGCGGGCAGTGAGCTTATCCGTGCCTGAGGCACGAACGTGAGCAAGGCAGCCCCAGACGTGGAACACAGACGCGTCACCGGGGGACCCGGTCCAAAGGAGGGTCGGCAAAGCCTGCGGCCGCTGGGAGCGTGGCCACAAGTTCAGCTGGTGAGCAGCGAAGCGAACAGCAAACGGCCACAGAAAATGGGGGTCATCGGTATGAATCATGGAGGTACGAGCGACCTCCATGACCAAGCCAATGCGGCGCTCAGCAACCCCATTCTGCTGTGGCGAGTCCGGCAAGGTGTACGACTGGGTGATGCCCTCCGCAGGATAGAGCTGTCCAAGCCGACCAGAGGCGAACTCGCCGCCACGGTCAGAGGCGAACTCGCCGCCACGGTTAGAGTGGAGACACAACACGGGGAGACCGCGGTGGAGACGCGCAGCCACAACCCACGGGAGAAGAACGTCTGGCACGTCGGCCTTCCGCTCCAGGGGAAACACCGTGGTGTAGCGCGTGTAGTCGTCGACGAGCACAAGGAAATAGCGCTCACCGTGCTGTCCGGGGACGGGGGCAGGGCCCCAAACGTCCAGGTGCAGGGTCTGAAGGGGGGCAGTAGCAGGGCGCAGCGAGGAGGAGTGAGGAGCACAGCAGAGCCGACCCTCGACGCAAGGCGTGCACGGTGGCGCAGTCGAGGGAGGAAGGGCAGGGAGCGACGCGGGGAGACCTAAGTCAAGACCGTGCTGGAACATGTGACGCAGACGCGGGAGAGCAGGGTGACCTAAGCGGTGGTGCCAGAGAAGGGACAGGTGAGTGAGGGACCGACACGAGCAAGCTGCAGCGACCTGGGAGGACATACCAACCGGGGGGGAAGCGGTGTCTAGGGTAAACAGGCCGGACACCGGGTCCCGGGGGAACGTCGCAAGGTGGGAACCTGAGACAGCCTCAGAACCGACAGCGAACCGCTCGTGCCCGGGGAACATGGTGGTGACGCCGAGGTCCTGGAGACAGCCGACACCAACCAGGTTCCTCGAGAACGAGGGAACGTGGAGGCCTGTAAGGGAGCCCGAGGGAACTGCTGGACAGGGAAGGGACGTAGAACTGCGTGCAACGACAGGACCCGCAGAGGGGTCAGCGAGAGAGACAACATTAGGCGCAGCAAGCGGCGTGAGCGTGGAACGGTCGCGGAAGAAGCAGGCAGAAGCACCGGAGTTGAGAGTGAAGGACAGTGAAGCAGTGGCGGAGGCCGGGGAAGGAGCCGGTGCAACGACTAGACTAGGCAAGCTAGGCAGTCCTACGCCTGACGCAGCAGGGGAGGCTAAGCTACACAATGGTGCAACACCTAAACTAGAGTACACAAGGTAATAAGATCCAGCAACACTAGAAGCGTCAGAATACAAAGCATGCAAGGCAGCACCTATCTGATCCATGTCTAACTCAAAGATCGGCACGCCCTGGCGGAGCAGGCTGTGCCAGTCGGGGAGGTCCGGGGCCGGGCCAAAGCGACGACGAAAAAAGATCGTCGAGGCGGCGGAAACAGCGGGCGGTCGGGTGCGGGCAGCGGCACAGAGTGCCGCGAAGAGGCCCGGTCTGAAGCTGGTATTGGCAGGTGACAGCACCGGAGCCGCCGGTAGATGCCAAGCTGCGCGGGCCGCCACCACGGCCACTACCTCCGGAGGTGCCGGGCCAGCCAGGCGGGAGACGAGCCCACGGCTGCGGCGACTGCTGCTTGGACGGCGGCTGCTGCTGGGGCGGCGGCTGCGGTTGGGGCTGCTCCTGCTGCAGCTAGGGCTGCTGCTCCTGCCCACCAGTGGTAGTCCCCGCAGGCGGACTACCGTCACCACCACCACCGCCACCACCACCTGCGCCACCACCCTACCTCCCTGGCGACCACGACCACTGCGGCGCGAGCGCTGCTGCGGGTGGACCGCAGCACCCGTCTCGGTGAGAGGGGTCGCCGTGGCGACTACAGCCGAAACGTCAGTGAACGTGCACTGGGAGGGGGCAAAGCCGTGAAAGATAGAGCCTGTCGGCGCACCGCTCGACTAGGCGATAGTGCGCTGACGAGTCTCGATCTCAGTGAGGGTGTCGACAAAGGCGATGAGGGTGAGGTCACCCGGGTGCTGGCTAAGGAAGTGATCGCGAGCACTAGCGAGGCGGTCTGGCAGGCGCATGGCGATAAAATAGAGCGTCATGCAGAAAGGGGGGGGGAGCGCAGTGAGCTGGGCAGCAGTGCTGGCAGTGCGATAGCGGGTCTCTAGGGCACGCAAGTGAGTGGCCAAGTCTGCGACGGTAGGGAAGGCTGCAAGGTCTGGGAACTTCATCGGGAAGAGCAAGCGGCCAGTAGAAGCAGACGCGTGTGTGGAATAGCGAGCAATAACGGCGTCTAAGTAAGCTTTGGCCGTCTCAACAGTAGCAAAACGCGAGCGCTCAGACACAGGGAGGGCGTGACTAATAGCAACATGAGCTACTGCATCGCGGGAGTCCCCGACCGCACAGGCAAGCGCAGCAGTAGAGAAGGCCTCACGGTCATCAGAGGAGGGGTCAGCAGGGAGGGGAGTAGGTGCAGGGGGGCGGGGGAGCAAGCCATCGACATGGACAACCGAAGAGTGGCCATCCTGGCGCTGACCTGTAAGGTGGCGGCGGAGATCGGAGAGCCAGGCGGCGAAGTCAACCGCATGGCCCTCGGCGTCCAGTCGGAGCACGAAGTCAGCCATCGTACAGGGTCAGCGGCATAGCTCCACAAGAACACAGCGACGCAGGGACACGGCGGCAGCACTCTCCAGCACGGCGGCCGCGAGGCGCCCCAGCACTGGCGAGCAGAGTAGACGGAGCCCGAGGTGGCACGGTAGGACGAGCAGGCACGAAGATGGGCCGGGCGGGCAGTGGGAGAGGCCAGGCAGACGCGGCGCGGTTAGGCAGGCGCGGAGGGGCAAGGCAGGCGCGGCGAGGCCAGGCAGGCGCGGCGGGGCCAGGCAGGCGTGGCGGGGCCAGGGAGGCGCGGCGGGGCTTGGCAGGCGCGGCGGGGCCAGGCAGGCGCGGAGGGGCCAGGAAGGTGCGGCGGGGCCAGGCAGGCACGGTGGGGCCAGGCAGGTGCGGCGGGGCCAGGCAAGCGCGGCGAGGCCAGGCAGGCGCGGCGGGGCCAGGCAGGCGCGGCAGGTCCAGGCAGGCGCGGCAGGGCCAGGCAGGCGCGGCGGGGCCAGGCAGGCGCGGAGGGGCCAGGCAGGCGCGACGGGGCCCCAAGGGGGGGGGGGCGCGGCGGGGCCTAGCTAGGGTACGGGCGGAAGCGGTAGGTGGTGGATTCTAACCTACGCGTGATACCATGTTAAAGTAAGAACTGAATGAATGACTAGAAGTGGAAACCTATAACAAATACTAGTTGGTTGTACTCATTAGAAGCATACCTCAGTCTAGCCTAAAACTAATATATCGACATGTGTTGTAGTAGACTAAGTATAAAACTATAAACACGAACACTTGGCAAATCCTCAAGTGTTGGTCCAGGATCTTTGCTGGAATGGTAGACTAGTAAGACAGCGGAAGTCTTGTAAAATGTAAAGGTCAAGGTTGAATAACCTGAGTACGTGAACTTGTGAGTAATCAAAGTTAATAATGAAAAGACAAAACAAGGATTTATAGTTCTATGAAAAGTACCTATTCGCTAATGTACCTGTTCGTCACTATCGCACTATGCGCCCTAAACGATAATGAAGAGGTGCGATTGTTCGCGTGACTGAAACGACGGTCCTATGACGAGCGCTATTTGTTGACGTCATTCTACGGACTTATGTTCTACAGTAAGTTTCGACACTATCTACAACTAATCGACTTACAGAAATGCTAAGTATCAATTATATCACAACATGTTGTACTCCTTAGAAGCATACCTCAGTCTAGCCTATAATTGAGAAAGCTTGCTTTCTTGTCCTTTGCAATAGGCATCGTTCTCATTTCAAGTGGCATGGTACAATAGTCGCTTACTAGCTTATAAGAATCTTAACATACACGCATCATGATCCTAGTTGTGTGCTCCCGTTCAAGTGACCGGCTGTCCATTGGAGATGGGCGGTTGTCTAGAGGGGGGGGTGGGTGGGAAGGTTGACTGAGCCGTTTGAAAAATGAGAGACGTGGGTGGAGGTAAATGAGCTGCAACCCACGTATATGTAGTTGGAGAAGGGCGAGTAGCGCGCTTCGACGATGCCCAACGCTTCAGTACAATCAGCTTCGCTTTCACAATACACAATTTTTGAAAAACACTACGTGTGTTAAAAATTATAATATTGAGAAAGCTTGCTTTCTTGTCCTTTGCAATAGGCATCGTTCTCATTTCAAGTGGGGTCGTTGAGACATGTGCAGTGGGGGCTTGCGGTGGCGGAGAAGTGCCTCAGCGTGTTGTGCAGAGGATGGTGCCGCCGCCGGGTCTTGCAGGCGTCGAGACGCCCCAACCAGATGATCGGTCGCGGGCGTGACGTACATCTCTTTCGCGGTTTCACTACGCCAACGGCCCAGGCGTTTGAAGATCCTGTCAGGAACCCCAGAGTTGGCAGCAACTGTGGCCGCGCCTTTCCGAAAGGAGTGGGTGCCGAGGTGCTCTTCTCCCAGACCGATTTTCGCGAAGGCTTCCTTGCACCATTTGCGGATTGTGGTGTATGAGGGCGGTCTGGCTGTGCCGTGGCTCGGTAGGTGGGGTCCGAAGACCCGGATGAGTGGTCCCAAGGACTGGAGGCTGTATCCTGCCAGTTGGATGAGCCTCTGGGTGCCCTGGACCGGACAAAAGGGTCCGGGGCTTGCCGCGATAGGGATCCAGGTGCCTTGGCCGGCTTGGTCGGTTTTTGAGTGGGGGATGAGTAGCCACATCGCTTCATCTTTAAATTGGATGTCCTGCCATTGGATTGCCACCAGGTCCGAGTAGCGCAAGAAACCGGCGTACATGAGAATCGGGAACAGTCCTTTTTGGAACACAGCCGGGTTAGTTGACTGTAGGAAGGAGGCTGCCATGTCGTGGACCTGATGGAGTGAGACTGGCTCTTTAATCCTGTTAGGGCGCAGGCAGTGTCGCTTCGCGAAGTCGCGCACTTGGGAGGTGAAAGGGCCGGTGGTTGGGCATGTTGAGCCTGTCATCCTGTGGGCAAAGCTCACGGCGGAGCATGTGAGCTGAACCACCGACAAGGAGGCCTTGCGTTGGATGACATACACAAGGTAGAGCGCGAGGGTCATGTCCGATGCCGGCAAGAACGTTAGGTTGACCTTCGTGCAGAAGGCGCGGAACTTCACCCAGTAAGGCTCGTATGTTCGGATGGTCGAGTCGGCACGAGAGCGGGCGAGCATGGAAAGCAAGTCATGTTGGAGCTTTGGAAGCAGATCTGGGGACAGGCGAGGGAGTCTAGTTAGTCAAATATCACGCGGAGTGCGACGATAGTGCTGTTGGGTAATCCTGTGCCTGAGAATGCTTGACTATGTGTGCCGACTGTAAGACACTGGTTGCCGTGTGTAAGAGGGATATGTGCTTGGATGTGTGGGTCCCACGATGGAGGGGAGGGCTGGAGGAGTGGCCACCAGCTTGCGCCAGGCCAGTGTGGGACTATCAGGGTGAGAGATGCGCTCGTGCGTTGTGCGTGATGGAGTACTGCGGGGATGAGTTGGGGCGGTAGGAATGCAAAGCTGTTCTCAGCCGTCCAGGCAAGTGAGAAGGCGTCGGCTGCTGTAGCATCGGGGTGGGGGACCTTAGAGCAGAAACGCGGCAGGTGTGCATTTTGGGGGTTGGCGAATAGGTCAATGGAGTGGGGCCCCCAGCGACGCTCGAGGAGGCGAAACCATGGGAGCTTCAACGAGTAGTCATCGTGGTCGACTAGCTTGGAGAGCTCGTCTGCGCGACCATTCAGATCGCGTGGGATCCATTCGATGATTAGCCGAATCTCGAACTCCATGCATTTTTGGATGATGCCTTTGCACATGGTGGTGAGGTCGGGACTTCGGGAACCTCCTTTGCGAAGGATAAAGAACACGCCCTGGTTGTCCACCCGCACTAGCACGTGTTTCTTCCGGATTCTAGGCGCGTACGTCTGTAGCGCCCACAGCACGCCGGCGAGCTCTCTTTGTGTGCTGGAGGTTGGATGAAGGGCTTCGGGCATTGCCGCGCTGGCCTCTATCGCGGCTCCAGGGAATGTGTTCAGCGTGGCACCCCAGCTGTGGGCACTTGCGTCTACGTGGATGACAGCATCGTAGCTGTGCCGCACATGGAACGGGGCACCGTTGAAACGGTCGAACTCTTGGATCCAGAATCTCAGCTCTTCGATGGCGGGTGGGGAGAGGATGACCATGCTGGTCCATGTCGGCGCGTCGTTGATTGTTTCTAGCATGGCGTGGCTGAACGCTCGGGTGGTGGTGCCGAGTGCGACAGCCATCGATGCCAACATGCCTGTAACTCGGGCCAGTTGCCGGACTGGGACTTTCCGCTGAGCTGAGCTTGCGCGCAGTAGGGCATGGAGGTTGGCGTTTAGTGTGGCTCGCCGCTCCTCGCCGATGGAGAACCGGCCGGCCTGTGTGTCAAGTTCTACGCCAAGGAACCGAAGGTGCTGTGTTGGTATCAGCTTTGACTTTTTTGAGTTGAGTACGAGCCCGGCAGCCTTGAGATCGATAACGATCCGTTGGCACGTGGCTTGAGCGTGTGCCTGGGTCGAGCACAGGAAGAGGATATCGTCCACGTAGGGTATCACGCGGACCCCCTGCTCCCGCCATCGCCGAGCTAATTGCTTGATGAGCTGCGTGAAGACGAATGGTGCTGTGGCGAGGCCGAACGGCAAGGATCGGAAGGCGTATGTGCGCCCGTCGAATTCAAAGCCGAGGAACGTCCAGCACGAGGGGTGGATGTCGACATGGTGGTAGCCTGATTTCAAGTCGATGGAGAACATCCAATCTCCTTGGCGGGCGAGGTCCGCTACGCGGTTGAGTCCCTCATATTTAAATTTGGGGACGATTATTGCGTCGTTCACCTTTCGGAGATCCAGAATCATGCGACACTTGTCTTTCTGCTCGACCACGTTGAGTGGGCTTATGCATCTCAGTTTCGCCGCAGGAATTTGGATGGCCGCGCCGGTCTCGGTGAGTTCAAGGATGGCCGTGCGCGTGAATGCTTCGTGGATGCGTGCGTCGGCATGGTTGCGATCGTGAAAGGCCGGCGGCGGCCCGAGTTTCCATGGCATCCAGTATCCTTTGGCAATGACTGAGAGGATGAAATTGCTAGTGCACCACGAGCTCCACCAAGCGAACGTGGTACGTAGGCGGCCACGCATTTTGGTGACCATTTTGTCAGTAACCGCGTATTCGTAGGGGTCACTGTTGTGTGCACATTCGCGAAGTCTGGTGCCTGTGGGAGTGCCACCATGCAAGGAGAAGCAAGGGACGAATACTTGAGTTCATCTGCAGGGCTGATGCCTACCGGAAACCTAGAGCGTGGGGGGGGGGGGGAGTGTGAAGCCTAGTGGCTGAGGAGGGCGTGCCGGGTTGAGGTGCCACATGCGAGCAAGATGCTTAGGTCGGTGGGTGCCTGCGCTTTGAGCGGGTCTGAGCGGCGTGACCTGCGTGTGTGTCGGTTTGCGCGCCTACGCATGCCGAGCTTGCGTTCGAACCTGAGCCCCGACGTTTTCTTCCCTTGGTGCCCTCGTATTCCCACAACTTGTGCCTTCACCCGCGCTTCTACTCGCGAACGCATGTTACCCTCTTATTGCCGCCTTCGCTTGCGCTATCATTTCTTGGGTTTTGAGACTCAACGCCCGTGTTTTTTTTTTTTTTTTTTTTTTTTTTTTGTCTTTCTTCTAGCCACCTCTTGTGTGCTTGTGTGGCATGCGTGCGGTGTTGTGTTGCTGTTCCCGTTCGTGGGCCATACCGCGTGCGTGCGCGCATGCTTATGTGACTCGTTTTTTTTTTTTTTTTTTTTTTTTTTTTTTTTTTTTTTTTTTCCAATGCCAAGCTGGGCAGCCCTAGATGAGGCTGGTGTGGCTGTTCCTGTATGCCCACGGAGGGGTAATGCTTAGGGTCCAGGGTGTAGCACACCGCGTTGAAGGGTAGGCGCCTTGTAAAGGCTCGCATAATGCTTGAATTCTTTTTTTTTTTTTTTTTTTTTGCATGTCCAATCGAGGAGCAACTCTGTGTGGGTAAGTGGCGGGCCATTGGTGTTCCTGATGGCCTTCCTTCTCCGGTCGGGGGTGCTGCGTGACATGCAGCGGGGGTTGAGCCACCCACTATGCTTCCCCGTTCCGTGCTCAATCCCCCCCCCACCTCTTTTTTTTTTTTTTTTTTTTTTTTTTTTTTTGCTGCGCCTCTTATGGTGCTGCTCCCCCTTTTCTCTGGTTATATTAGGGGACCAAGACCTGAAAAAAAATGAAGGACCGTGGCTCCTTATTTTAACCAAGCTTTATCTCTACTCAACATGCTCCTAGGCATGCAAAGTCCGCCTTGCAAGGTCGGGCTATCATTTGGGACCGAGGGGGCATGTTCCCCTTCCCTTGCTCTGATCCTAGGGCCTTTGATTGGCCTACACTAGGGCTGGCCCTCTGCCACCCGTGCCCCTAAGGGGTGGGCCCAATGGCCTACGCACACACGGGGTGCCTTGCGCCTTGCGCCACTTGCGCAAGCGCCCATGGCCCGACCCCTACACCACTGGTGCGGGTCCTTGGCCACCATGCCCAATCGCCGGGCAGCCGCTGGCCACATGCCCCGGCTGGCCACAGCGGAAGCAAGTGCCTCGGAAGCCACGGAATTCTCCCGTAGGCGGCGGACCACGCTTTGGCACGAACGGCATGGGCATGCGGCCGCCTCCGCGATTTCCACGAGCAAATCCGCCCTCGGCGCGGTCCATTGCGGCCACGTCAGCGACGGCCTGCTTGAAAGGCCTTGAGGTAAGCAAACTCTTCTGCTGGTACAGCTTGAAACGCTTGGCCGTGCGGAAGTCGGAGGCGTCTTCGACTTGGAGAACTTCGAAGCGTCGTGATATGAGGGCGAGCGCGTCGGCGAGGAATTCGAGGCCGCCCGGCGCGTCGCCGTGCTGCACCTTGAACTCGGCGTGCTTCAGGTATGCCCGAAGGTCCTCCAGGACTTCCGCTTGCTCGCGTACGGCCGCGTTGAGGAAAGACGCCGCCGAGAGGGTGGTGTGAGTGGTCGGGAGTGGTGGGAGATTGAATTTGCAGCAGTGCTGGGGACCTCACCAGCGTCATTGTCGGAGTCGTCGCTGTCGTTGTCGGCCGCCGGGGCAGGCGGGATGCTGGCGATGGCATCCTTAGCGAGGCGTGGCGTCTTGGTTCCGCGTGTGGCCTTTTCTGTTTTTGCAGGTTCTTTTTTAGCAGATTCAGAAGCAGCAGGTTGAGCAGTTTCGGCGGCCGTAACACTCGTCGCCTGCTGCTGTAACAGCGTCAACAGCGCGTTGACATGCGCAGGGGTCAACACCGGGGTCAATGTCGGGGTGGGCGGCACGTCAGACGAGGCAGCCGCGCGCCCCCTTTTGCGCTGGCGAGAGGGGCCCGCCACTTGCGGGGCTGGCGCGTGCTGCTGCTCGGCGTCAGGCGCGAGTGGCTGGCTCTGCCCAGCCACTTGCGCGTGTGGCTCAGAAGGGGGCGGGGGCGCGTCAGCAAGCTGACTGTTGACCTCGCCCCCTCCCAGCAGAACGTCAACCCCAGTTGGGGCGGTTGCCCCTTCTTCTGCCCGACGCTTGTTGCGCCGGTCGCCCGCAATTTCCGGGGCTTGGCGAGTAGACTCGGAATTGGGGTGGCCGGTGACGACGTTGGACTCGCCGCGATTATTCGTAGTCGGAGCCATGACGGATCGGTGAAACTTAAAAATGTCGTAGAGAAGAGTTGAGGGAGACTCGCCGCGAGGCAAAGTTCTAGTCTTAGCCAGCTTGAACGGGAGAAAAGCTAGAGCGGGAAGGTTGACTGAGCCGTTTGAAAAATGAGAGACGTGGGTGGAGGTAAATGAGCTCCAACCCACGTATATGTAGTTGGAGAAGGGCGAGTAGCGCGCTTCGACGATGCCCAACGCTTCAGTACAATCAGATTCGCTTTCACAATACACAATTTTTGAAAAACACTACGTGTGTTAAAAATTATAATACTTCTACATAGCTAATATGTATAAGTTGACAGCTCTGCCACGAAACTCAAATCGTGGTGCCCAAATGTGGCCTCCTGACGAGCCGCATGCATTTTGCCCGCCTTGCTGTTTCATGCTTAGATCTAGGCGCTTCGCGCCAATTTACGAACCACACGTCGCAGCTCTGCCGAGCCACGACCGTGTGCTCTTGGCTAGCTATATCCAAGCTTCTTGTTGTTTTTATGTTGCCTCCGTTGTACTGTTTCCTCGTTACTCAATCCTTCGACACACGCTCTTTGCACTTCATTATAGTATGCCAGTATTGACTGACTGAAGCAATATTTGTGAAGGAAGTTTCGACATTTGAGTGCGTCCCTGTCTGTTGCGGTTATTTTATAGCGAGAATACATGCTTGACTGACCTCGGCTGTCAGCGCTGTAGGCACCCTGACACCAAAGTTGCACCACTGCACACAAACACCTGTCACGCGGCCAGAGAGGGTCCATTTACATGAGCACCAGCCCCTGGTGAGGGTCGGTCGCACGTGGGGCTTACCTTATGGTTTTCGTCCACACGGCAGATCCGGGTATCTCTCTCGCGGGACCCGGATAAAACGGGTTTATCTGAAACATTGCTCGTCAATGTCCGGGTTCAGTCCCGGAATGTTTTCCGTGATGACAAACGCTCTTACGCAAAGTTTCTGGATTCAACAAAGGGAACCATGTAGGAGTACTGCGCTCAGCTTTTATACTTCTACTTCTTGAACTTCCTTGTTTGGGCTGATGTGCCCTGGGGGGAGGGAATGGCGGGGGGATTTGTGGGGTGGTGTGAGAAGTTTTTGTATCCTTGTTTCTCAAAACCGAGCTCGTCACTTCACGTGTTCTGGTCAAAATGTACCCGACAAATCAGGATTCATGAAAATCGAACATGTCACAATCCGATTTTAAATCACCCGTTATTTTGTCAACGTCGGGTAATTAGTTTTAAAAATAAGCCCTCCTCGCACGCTTGGACGATTTGGTGAACCGGATATTCGGCGCCGCTTACATTGGGGTTGGGCTTGGATGTGCCGTTCGTTTCCTCATAATCGTCACCGTACACCTATCGAAATGCGTACACGTGTACTCATATTCCATCCGTGCGCAGGTTATGGTGAGTCAGCCTCGCCTTGGAGCTTCGTGGCCTCATGGTCAGGAGAACCTTTCCTAACGCTTTTCGAGCCTTTTGAGGAAGATCTTCGCTGGCACCACGAAGATATACGGCGCGCCGTGAGTGCTTCTCTGGCGCCTCGCCACGCAAGGTGCGCACTTTTGTGGCTGCCCAGCCTCCCTGATCCTTTCAATTCGAACCGCACTGGTTGGTCAACTGCGGCCTCGCACGCCACGGCTCCTCCTGGTAGAGGCCGCAGCCCTAGCGCGCCATGAAGTGGCAAATATTGATTGGTTAATCTCCCAACTAGGCTGTTTCGAGATTGCCTACTGGGCTCGCCTCGCCTTGCTGTTTGGAGCACCTGGTCGAGACGCAGCGCCTTCCACCCTTACCCTTTTTCATTCGCGACTTTTGCGAAACGCATCGCACAATCGCTTTGGCATAGACGAAAAGAGATTCCGCGCAGATTACCCGTTGCTTCGTTTCGCCCACTCGTCCGCGATCCTCATCGCTCTATCTTCCCACTTTATTACATTACTGCCAACATTCCCCCTTTCCCTGCCACCAACGACCAGCCAGCACAGCAGAAAGCCCAGAAACTCCCGCCAAGCCACGAACCTCCACACGCATGCGAGCTAACAGCTCCTTCCTTACCTCACCTCACCTCACCCCAGCTTCACGTCTGATCTGATCAGCCTTCCAGCTGTTGATCACACTCCACCTACTCGTCGTCATCAGTTGCGTTCCTGCTCGCCGACGTCGCGTCAACCAGCACTGCACAGCGACGCAGCTGCTCATAATCGCTCATGCTCGCACTGACCAGCATTGTTCTCCGCGACCTTGAACCGAGCTCGATTGGTAGCTGGCCCTTCAGCAGTGTTACTTGCTAGATTGGTCACTATCGGTGTTACCGTGGCTCACTTCCTTCTTCAAGGATCACCACCGGAAGGCTTCGTTGCTGGTTACGCTTGCCTCTTTCGGGCTCGCGTTCCACCCTCCTGTCCTGACCACTTTCGTCCTAATTATGTCGAATTCGTTCTAACAATTCCCAATTCTAATCCCTGTAGCGGCCCTGTCTCGTGACGCTCTCGTGTCTCCTCGGGGCAATCGCCTTTTTCGCTGCGCAACGCGCCCGCGCCCGCGCCCAAACGGCCCATGGCAGTGCGCGCTCCGCCGTGTCCATGCCTCACTGACCAGCGCGCATTCATAAATACTACCATGTCTCACACTACCTCCCTCCGCACAAACTTTCTTGGCACCTGGCCATCCCATCAGGCGCATCAGCCGCAGCAGCAGCATCTCCGGCTACACTCCTATCAACACCCCGCCCTCCACGCGTCCTCACCTCTTAAACTCACTCGTGCACAAGCGGCCGAACAACCGCCCAATCCCAACCGCATTCCACCCGCTCATGGCGCCAGTACCGGCAATTCCTCCGCAATTCCGCCGACGGCGGGGGCGGCAGCTTCTCGCCGCGGCTCGGTCGCGAGCCGCGCCGCCGTGACCGCTCAGCCGATGCCGGATTCCGAGGGAAGGGGATTTTTCCGCATGCCGTCGCCCGTCCCCATGCTGCAGAAACTTTTCCAGGCCGCGAATGCCGCCGCGATTGCCGTGCCTCTTAAGTTCCCGTTCCCCACTGCAGAAGCCCCGCCTCAAATCCCCGCTAATCCTGCCCCCACCAACGTCGCCGCCCCCACCGCCGGCGCCGCCGACGCCGCCAAAGCCGCCGCCGCCGGCAGCGCCGTTTCAGCTGCGGTTTCAACGGGAGTGGGCGCACGATCCCCCGCTGTCGCGAAGAGCGGAGTGGCGACGGGAAGCAAGGCGCGGTCGGGGGGTTGGCGCAGCGATCTGCACATCAGCCGTGCGCTGCCGCTGCCCATGACCGCGCCCAACTCGCAGCCGCTGTCGCTGGACGCCGTGGAAGAAATGGTCCGCTGCGACCCCGAGATGCAGGTGAGAGGATGAGCTGCCTGGGAAATGCCTGGAGAAATGCTTTTGCGCTGTGATTGGCGTAGAAGCGATGGCGCGCTGCAAACCCGACATGCAGGTGCGATTGCCAGCGCGCGCGGGGGAAGTGCCCTGAGCAGGAATTGGCACGAAAGGATCCTTGTGCCGGTTGGCTTGTTGTGGACCGATTTCTCCTCTGCCTTGCCTTGTGCTGCTGGGTTGTCTGTTACCTGTGCTACAACTGCTCCAACCAAGCCGGCTTTTCTGCGCTCCCACATGCCCTAACCGCCGCATACGCCTTACTGTGCTCTCCGTTGCTTGGCTGTGTGGCTGCAGGACTGCAAGGAGGTGGTGTACCAGTGGACGGGCAAGTGCACGCAGTGCAGCGGCACGGGATTCGTGTCGTTCCGTCGCAAGCGAGGGAAGGACTACACCGGCACCTGCATCACATGCTCTGGCATTGGTACGACCCTACAGCTGAACACAGCACAGCACAATTCACTACACTACACCACACCACCCCACACCACACTCCACCACTTCTTCCCAGCCCCCGTGTCCAGTGTTTTCTGTCCCTCACGCTCCCTCGCTTTGTGCTGTTCGTTGTGTGCGCCAGGCTATGTGCAGCGATTCACAATCAGGGACAGCATCCGAGTGATGGAGGAGATAGAGGACAAGTGGAGGCCATGAGAGGGGGAGAGATCGAATGGGGTGGAATGGAGTAGAATGTGGCCATGAGTGGTTGGAATCTCGAGAGTAGTCGTAGCATAAACGCTTGGATGAGCTGTCGTACAAGGAAGGAGGGAGTCTAGCAGGGGGTAGCATTTGCAAGATGAGCTCCTAATGATGGACAAGGTGGATGGACCCACAGGAGTAGTTTTAACAGGTTGTGTATTGAGCATTGCATGTATGGTACCTTTGTTTATAGCTATGTAGTTTATACCTATTAACGTCATTGGCCCGATGGAAGGGGGGATCAACGCATTCCTACAGTACGTTATCAGACTTGCCTCTTAGGCCCCCAATTGGGATAGTTCTGGTATTGCTGGAGTCTGATATGATTTTGTGTGCAATGCAAATCGATGTCAGCAAAGAGCTAGGGTACCACGTGATAGGGTAGGGAACCAACAAGCAAGGAGAGGTGCACAGAGAGCATGTACGTACTGTTGATGATGACTGCAAGATGAATGGTATGGTACCAGTATTGCACCAGAGACGCACTGGAGGGACACAGCACAGCAGTAAGGGAAGACTAGTGGAATGAACATACCGGTAGGAAGGTACGGCATGAATGAAGGTGGTTAGTTACTGTACCCGAACCGGAACTTGCAGTTGGTGAGTGAGAGAGAGAGAGAGAGAGAGAGAGAGAGAGAGAGAGTGAGTCAGCATCGAAGCACACTGAGTCCCAGTCTCAGAGCTTCCTGGCAATTTGGGTAGGTGTGCCAGGCAGACAGGATGAGGATTCTCATGGCAGGAATGAACTCCTGAATATTGATTCCAGTCCAGACTGAGGGCTAGAGCTGTGTGAACATGGCAGGGAAGGGAAGGGACACACAGACTGGCATGCGTGACATCAGACGCATAACATGCTCCAAATCCCCAACACGCATGCCCCTTCCCTTCCACCCCCCGTCCTCCTCCCTCCCTGCTGTTTCCACCACAGCAGCTCTCGAGGCAGCAACTGCTCATCATCCCTGACCTCTGTGCAATCCTTCTCTCACTTTCTCTTCCTCCTTTCTTTTTCCCCTCCTCCCTTCCCTTCCACCCCCCCTCCTCCCTCCCTGCTGTTTCCACCACAGCAGCTCACGTGGCAGCAAATGCTCATCATCCCTCACTGCTGCTGCTGCCACGTGCTTTGCCACCCATGCATGGTAGATCAGACCACGGGAGCCAAGGCCGCCCACCACCCACACTGAAGGGCCCAGTGTAGCACCAGCAGCAGCAGCAGCAGCAGCAGTATCATTACCATCTCCACCGCCATGAATCTCACCATTGTGGGCGTTGCCACCACCACTACCACCACCACTATTACCGGCGTTGCCACCTCCACTAACACTGTCACCCTGCTCTCCTTCCCCTTGACTGCCCCCTCCCGCCTCCTTGCCCCCTCCGATTCTCAACCCGATCCCTTTCCCCACCAGCACCCCTAGCGTCAGCCCTTCCACTCGGCCCACTAGGGGCACCCGTCCTAGGGATGATCTAGGGGGCATCGCCCTAATCCCTGTCACCCTCCGCACTATTTCCCAGGAGGAAAGAGCGGGGAGGAGCGAGGTGAGGGAGGAGAGAAGGGTGGTTGAGGCTGCAGCAATTTCATCTTGAGGAGGAGGGGGGAAGGGTGAGAATGGGGTGGAGGAGGGAGTGGTGGTGGTGGTGTGAGGGAGGGGAGGATCTGGAATGGACGGCACAGCAGTGTCATTGCTACTACTGTGATTGCTGATGTAGTTACTGCTGCTGCTGCTGCCGCTGTCGTTCCTGGGTGAATGGGGCATCAAACGAGATGGTCCTTGGGGCAGAGATGGCAGAGGAGGCAGGGGGGGATGCGGCATGTTGTGGTTGGTGGCGCCAACGACAATGCGGTGAGGGGCGCGCGCAGACACCCATGTGGATCCCAGCAGGCTAGGGGCTGATGCTGGGTACAGCGGAGGGGTGGAGAGGGATGCAGGGGGGTGCGCGGAGGAAGGAGAGGAGGGAGGAGGGTGGGGAGAGGGAGGAGGGGAGAGGTGAAGGATGTGGCCTCGGGAGAGTGAGAGGGAGGAGAGGTGAGGAGCGATTTCTGGGAGATTGAGTGAGTGAGCACCCAGACACACAAACACAACGTCAAAGGGGAAACCTTGGCTTTCGCTGCACCCACTGCTGCTGCTGCTGCCAGTGCTGCTGGTGCTGCTGTTGGTGCTGCTGTAATCCTGAATAGTCTCGTGACTTTGACTGTGAGAGGCCCCACAGGTCGTGTCAGGCAGAGAAGCGAGGTCGGCCAAGGAGCGCAGCGAGTGCAGCACCAGGCGAGCACGGGTGCCTGGACTGCTGCCGGCTGCTGCCTCTTGGGCGAAGCGGACACACGCAGCCCACAGGGACTGAATGGGGATGTTGGGGAAGGGGAGATGTGAGAAACGCAGACAGACAGACAGACAAATTGGGTGCCAGGGCTGCTGCCTCATGGGCGAAGCGCACGCACGCAGTCCACAGGGACTGGTTGGGGATGTTGCGGAAGGGGGGATTTGGGAACGGCAGACAGACATACAGACAGACAAAATGGGTGTCAGGGCAGCTGCTGGGTGCTGCTGGGTGCTGCCGGCTGCTGCCTCGTGGGTGAAGCGCAGACACGCAGCCCACAGAGACTGGTTGGGGATGGGATGGGGGTTGAATGCAGGGGAGGGGACGGGAGAAACGGAATGGCAAGCAGGCAGAGAGGCATGAGGATAGACAGAGTGGGTGCATGAGAAGCTACCTGCTGCTACCTAACGGGCAAAGTGCAGACAGGCAGCCCAAAGGGACTGGTTGGGGATGGGGGCGAGGGGAGGGGAGAGAGCAGAGGGCAGGCAGGCAGACAGACAGACGGATTGGGTGTATGGACCACTGCCCAAAGGGACTACTGCCTGCTGCTACCGCACGGGCGAAGCACAGACAGGCAGCCCTCAGGGACTCATTCAGGAATGGGAATTGGAGGGTGGGGTCGATGGAAGGGGAGGTGGGGGTGGGTGCGTGTGTGCTTGAGTGGTGGATGTGGGAGGGCACGGGTAAGGTGGATGGGTGAACGGTGAGGGGTTTAAGTGACACACCTCGAAACTAAAGCCGCCTCAGAACTAGGCTGGAGGAGCATGGGCGGCTTACCTTGAGGTAGATACGAGGCTGGATGGTGAGGGCTTGAGGCACGAGCAGCGCACAGCAGGGGTGGGCGTCAGAATGGTTGGTGTCGGGCAGTGAGGGTTGCAGGTGAGGGGGGAAGAGGGAGAGAGCGGAGGAAGCAGACAGACAGAGTGGTGCGAGGGGAGAAGAGGAGGGGGAGGAGGAGGGGGAGGAGGAGAGGGATGGCAGTGGTGGCGAGAGATGTGGTTCGGGGTGGGGAGATGTGCACACTGGATCATCCCCGCTGCTGTCGGCTACTATCCCTACTGCGGCATCGGTTGCTGCGTTGCTCTCCGTTGCTGTCATGCCCATGGGGTGCTGCCCTTGCCATGGGACCATGGGACCTCCATGCTGCGCTCAACCATGCCATGCACACGGGATCGTCACACCATGCCATTCCATACCATACCATGCCACGCCACGAGCAATGCCATGCCATGCCATGCAGAAGGACATCAAGATTCGAGGGAAGGGAGAATGGTGAGGCACACGGATTGAAAGTGCCAGGAGGAGGGAGCCACTTCTTGTGGCCAAGGCTCTTGACAAGTGTAGGAAGGAAGCCTAAATCTACGAGCCGTGTGCATGCAATGCAAGGAAGCCAAGTGACGAGGGCGACGACAGGAAACCGACCAAGACGGGGGTCAGAGCGAGAGTAAGCAAGTTAAAGCAAATGCCAAGGCTGCTACCTGACCAGAACCCCACTTCGAAAAAACCTGAGGAGAAGTAGAGAAAAGTAAAATGAAATAACCCACTGGAAAGCTACCCACCTGGAGAAAGTCTCGTGAGTGGCTTGGCTTCTCCGGTAGTCTGAGCGCCCCTCTGTGCTGCGGGCGAGGGGCGCAGGCAGCGGTGTGGGGGATGTGAGCCAGCCACGGTTGATGATTTAGAAGGGAGGCGAGGAGGAAGAAAACTGAGGTAGGAGAAAACCGAGGTAGGAGAAAAGGATGACGAACTTCTAGTGTACTCAGTTAGTAAGTGGCCAGTGGCCAGTGGCCGGGTCTACAGTTGCTCTCCCCACGAGATTCCTCCCCCACGAAACTGTTCCAAGACACAGCCCTACCTACCTCCGCAGGATAAGTGGCCGCTGAGACCCGTGCTCTCCCCACTCCTCCACCTCATCCTCGCCTTCCTCCCACCACGCTCTGCTCCCCTCCCCGCCTCCCCCCTCCCCCTCCCCCTCCCCCTCCCCCCTCACCCTCCGCCTCAGCTCCCCCTCCGCCACTGCCAGTAGCTCAAGAGTGCACTGCCACCCTTCCTCGCCCCTCCACAACAGCCGACCTGGAAACGGGGGAGAGGGGGGAGGGGCGGGGGAAGGGGGCGGGGGAGAAAAGGAAAGGAATGGAGTCTAGTTTTGAGGCGCCTCAAAACAAGGAATGGAGAGCAGAAAGGGTCAAAGAGGCGAGGAACGAGGTTGGGAGGATGAGACGTGCTTTGAGAGCACAAGAGCATGGGGCACGGGGAAAGGGGAACAAGAGCATGAGTGAGGGTCGGATGGTTCCCAGGAGATGATACTTGCGATGGCATGCCATGCCATGGTATGGCATGGTAAGGTACAGTCAGAAAATGGCATGGTATAGCATGCGCATGGAAATATGGCACTGTGGCTTGCCTTTCGGCGAGAAGGCATGGAGGAGCCCCCCTGACACGCCAGACGCACCCGCCCCAATGCCCTGGGCGTCCACCAGCGTCACCTGCACGGGCCTCTCCCTGCTCGTGTGCTGGTGGGCGCGCACAGGGAGTGGGGCGCAGGGAGTGGGTGGGGAAGAGAGAGAAAGGAGAAAATAAGCAAAGCACTGAGTTTGAGAGTGAGTGTGGGTGGATGTATGGATGGATGAGTGGTTATGAATGTGTGTGTGTGTGTGTGTGTGTGTGTGTGTGTGTGTGTGTGTGTGTGTGTGTGTGTGTATCTGTGTGTGAGAGATAGAGCGGTGATGGTGGCACAGTGGCAAAGGGCTGTATGCTGCTATACAGCAAGCCCCCACCTGCAGCACATGCCAAGCCGTCGCCACTCCCGCAAAGCCTGCTCCCACCACTGCCACCCGCAGGGGCGCTGCTCCCTGCACGCCATGGCAGAGCGGCGGAGAGTGGTGGAGGATTAGCGAGGGGTTACACAGATGAAGGAGAGGTGCGGATGGACGGAGAGGGATGAGGAGGGGATATGTAGGGCAGCAAAGGGGGAGAGTGGGTTGAGGGGGGCCATATGAAACCACAAGCTGATGCTTTTTGTGAGCATCATTTGATTTGAATTGGACAATGTTGATAGCAGGAACACTCTATGAGCCGACTGACGAACACGATTCAACAAACAATAGCATTCCCACCACGGACCATGGTGCGTGTAGAAGCATGGTTGCATGCACCGTTACTACTATCCGCACTGCCATTGCACATGAGCCCACCTGCATGCATGCATACCTACTGCACCTGAACAGATCAGCACTAACACATCCGTGGCGCATGCGGAAATGACTCACCCCTATCACGAGGCATACCCATGAAAAAGCCCTCCTCTGAAAGATACCGGGATTCAGGGTTTATGAGGGGGCTTGGGGCGGGCCAGAACCACATGAGGTAAATGAGATAGACTCGTGAGGGGAGAAGAGGAGAGGAGAGGAGAGGAGAGGAGAGGAGAGGAGAGGGGAGGAGACGGGGGAAAGGTAGACATGAGAGGGGAGGGGATCGGGGAATCCGGATGCACCTGCAACGAGTTCCCGCTGTCAGCAGATTTGGTAGTGGCGGATAGATCTCTCTCGGAGCCGCTTAACGAGCTGCTGCTGCCTAGTGCTGGAGCGCCAGTTGCGGCGGCGACAGTCCATTTTGCCTCGCAAGCTGTAAACTTCGCTTTCCTGCTGCTCGCGCCGTTGACAGTCCGCTTTGAAGGAGATGATGCTGAAGCTAAGAAACGTCCTGTGGCAGCGCCATTCGCGGCGGCAAGTGCGGTGCATCGTGAGAATGGGAGCGCCTGGCTTGATGCGCGGATCGCGTTCAGCAGGGTTGGGATTGGAGGTCTCCCCACGCGCATGGCTCCGATAAAGGCATGAATCGATTCGTTCATACTACTGCTGGTAGTGTGAGCGCCACTTGTGCGAATCCAGTTTCGTCGAGCAGTGCTTGGGTTACAATTCCCGGAGGCGATCAACGAGGAGCGACGGATATTCGTCAGGGTGAAACGACCAATGCCGTATTCGCATCGCGAAGAGGCGAAACGAGAGTGGCATTCGCGCGTGGGAGTGGAAGAAACCAGAAGCGGGGGTGGGGAGGAGAGAGCTCGACGAGATGATGATTCGTCTCGAGGAAAGAGAGAGATAGAGGAGAGAGGGGCGCAGGAGGGGCGCGAGCGAGCGAACACGACGGGCGGGGTCGCCAGCATGGTGTGACACGAGCAGTGTTAGGTGTACGAGTGTTGATACTGTACTATGATACTACTAGGAGTATGTCATACCCCTAGTGGTTATGAAGCATGCTTTCAGTACTTCTTTCCCTTAGTCAGAATTCTGGCCGAACCGGGATTCCCTAGTGTCCCAGCCTGGAAGGACTCGTCCCCTGAACCGTAATTCTGGTAGATTTCACGTCACAATTCACGAAGAGCGGTGCAGTAATGTGTGATTCACCGAAAGTCGCTCGATCAATGTCAGTTACGGCGGTGAATCGCGGCCAATCATCATTCGTGATTCGAAACCTCAGTCACAGCAAAAGACACCTTGCGACCAGTTGTCCAAGATATCGAGTCTTGCGAAACCTCTAGCTCCCGTCGCTTACAAATCGCATGCTTGTCAACCAACAGCTGTCACGAATTCCAACTTCTTGTTTTTGCACAATTTCCCGTATCGTACGCGATGTTCTGTTTTCCGTAGCGAAAGTGTTTGGGACGCGCCCTCACGCTGAGGCCTCAGATTAGTACACCTCGAGGGATAAACATGTTCACTGCATTTCTTAGTCTCACTGCCGTCGCATACCCCAACGCTGGCACAACCGCAACCAGCGGCAGCTCTCGCGTCACTTCACTCAGCTTCATCCAACTCTGCTGAGCTTAGCTGGTTTCGCTTAGCTCACACCCGCACTCTCTGTCCCCGCCACCTGCTTTTCGCGAGCTCAGCCATCTTCACGCACGAACCCTCCGTTGCATCCGCGTTGCGCGGCGGAGCAGACCCGGGAGGCTAGTATATTCACCGCGTTATAGCGGCTTTGAACATATGACAGGTCGTAAGGAGAGGAGATTCCTCTTGAGAGTGCGAAGCGTGGAGGAGAGGGGTTTGGAGAGCCTAGTGTGCCTATGTCGCACCGTGTAATCGAGCATCCGATACAGCATGTAATAAAGCATGTAATCAAGCTGCTTCTATCTCGACGTTGAGCCTGTATTTCGAGCAATCACAAGGACAGAAACCGTTCAGGGAGCTATGGTTGCCGGCAGTGCCGACAGTGGTAACGGCGGCCGTATTGGCGGGGGTGGCGGTAGTGCCCCTGCTAGTATTGCTAGTGCCGCTGGTGCAGAGATTACATCAGGAGCTGGTGCCTCGAGACACCGGGCTGACAGCGACGAGAGAAGGGGACGCTCACTGCAGCCGCGCACGCAGCTCGCTATAGTCACAGGCGCCGCGGTACGATCCACGTGCAAGGACTCACAGCTGGTCCGTCACCGTCACAGTCACAGTCACAGTCACAGTCACAGTCAGTCACAGTCACCGTCACCGTCACAGGCACAGTCAGCGTCACAGGCACACCAAGGTCGGTCGTGACTGCATGTTGTTGACTTGCACAGCCTCAAAAACCGTCGACCTGCTGCACAGCGCGAGTGCAGCACGCTCGGTTGAGCTAGAGGCACTCTTGATTGAGGAGTGAGTCACTCCACAGTGCACGAGATACCTCAGTTCCCAGGAGCCTGGGCTCTACTGCTCTTATTACTTCTCAACCAGGAGCCGTAGTCGCCGACTCGCTGGCTTGACTCTCATAATCTGCAGAGCTAGTTGTCACTGTTTCCTGTGCAGCGGCTCCCAGACTGCCCTTCTTCACTATTTCCTGCCACCTTCAATCTGCCACCTTCAATCTGCCGCCTTCAATCTGCCGCCTTCAGTCCGCCTTACTCCTAGCTCTCGGTTGAGCTCACCCACTTTACTCCTCCTATCTGCTGTTGCCCTTCTCACTCTCAGCCTCCCTCCCGGCGCCTGTGCTTTCCTTGCCCACCCACCGTGTCTCACCAACCCGTGTGCTCAGATCGCTGCTGCTGTGCTGCTGCGGCGACGGCCGTCACTCAACGAGCGACTGAAGCAAGCTGCAGTACGCCTCCTATGACCCACCCAGCCATCTACGCCCCCTCCCTGCTTCACCCCTTTCCGCACCATCCTCTCTCTTGCTCTCTCCCTCCCTCCCCTCCTTTCCTCTTTCTTGCCCTTCATGTCTCCCCCCTCCTTCGCTGTTTCGCCTCTTCTCCCTCCACCCTCCTTTCTCCTTCTCCCACTATTCCCACTTCTCCCGCCCTCCCCCCCCTCTCCCTCTCCCCCCCCCGTTTCCCCCCCTCCCCCCCCTCGTCTCTGTCCATCCAATCGAAGGGAGCACACGCAGAGATCAGGCGAGCTCAAAGCCGGTGGCAGCACCACGCAGCACAGCAGCAGGCAGCAGGGGGGCATGCAGCAGGGGGGCATTCAGCAGGGGGGCATTCAGCAGGGGGGCATTCAGCAGGGGTGTATCAGCAACAGGAGGCTGAGCCTTGCTCTCGACAGCAGCCGCACACAGGCCGTGACACGTCGTCCGAGCACAGCCATAGAGGACCCAGCAGCAGCAGCAGGGCAGGTGTTGCGGGTGCTTCCGCTGAGGCAGCAGGGAGTGCTGGAGTGAGGTCAGGAGAGGCCGTAAATCAAGGGGCCACGCAACAAGAGAGAGAGCAAGGAGGGAAGGCTTGGGGAGAAGCGGGGTCGAGACTGGGGCAAGATGAATCCCGAAGGGTCCGGGGTGGGGAGGGAGGAGAGGATTTAGGTGGGGGTTACACGAGCGATGCTGCAGCAGGGATGCGAGGAGGTGGGGGGGAGGAGCAGCGGGACAGGGAGGAAGGAGCAGGCGAGGGTGGGCCGAAGGGGCATGCAGAGAGAGAGGAGGAGAGGCTGAGAGAAGAGGTGAGCTGCTGTGACCTTGAGTCATGGAAGGAACGAGACTATCGGAATGAATGTGGGGCATGGCAGCATACGTTCGTCTTCGCCTCGCACTCTCCCATCCACGTCCTTCTCGTCCTACAACCCCTCATCTCCCTTCCCCTTTATCCTTCACTTTAGCCCCTTCTCTTCCCCCCGCTCCCACTGGCACGGCAGCGAGCAGCGGCCGAGGAGGTGTGCCGATCTCTTAGGAGCCTAGTGGTCCCATGGTTTTTTCTCAAGCGGTCCATTATATCTCTCTCATTCTCCCACCCCCCCCTCCCCCTCCAGGCACGGCAGCGGGCAGCGGATGAGGAGGTGCGGCGGCAGCAGGATCGGTTCCGGCGGGCGTTCCACCGGTACCAGCACGCGAGCCGGACACAGCACACCTTCGACTGGTACTGGGACGGGCGGTCGTTCGGGCACGGGTGGGATGAGCGCGAGGAGCAGGCGCGGGAGGAGGAGAAGCGCAGGGGAGGTGGGGGAGGAGGGGGAGGGGGGAGGGGTGGGAGGCTGTGGGAGGAGATGGAGATGGTTACGGACCACTGGCATGCACTGGGACTTGACAGGTGTGTTGCGCATGTGCTCCCATGCTGCCATGCTGCCATGCTCTCATGCCCCCATGCCCCCATGCTGCCATGCTCCCTATGCGTTTCTCTTGGTGCTTTCTCGTGCCTGTTGAGGTCGAACCTCTGTCTCTTTTCGATGCGGCATGTGTTTGGTGTGTGTGTGCCTGTGTTTGTGCCTATGTCTGATGGCGTGTGTGTCCGTATGGGTCCCTGTGTGATCCTGTGTTTCTTGCATGTCCATGTCGGTGTGGATCCCCTCAGCTCTCGGGGGCACAGCATTCCAACATCAGAGATCAAGGTGAGCCTTCATCCCTTGTGCTCCCCTGTGCTCCCTTGTGCTCCCTTGTGCTCCCTTGTCCTCCCTTGTGCTCCCTTGTGCTCCCTTGTGCTCCCCTTTGCTCCCCTGTGCTCCCCTCTGACCCTTCACCACTTCTGATCACCACACCCATCTCCGCGCATTGCGCTCTCTTGCTGCATCTACTTATGCTTTTCAAGCCATTCGGAATACCCTCTTCAATCCTTTTAACGATAGCTTCTCGCCCTGCCTCCCCTACTCCCCCGCACCCGTTTCTTTGTTTTCTCCCTCGCACTCTCTCCCCTACTGTGTGTTTCTTCCTTTCTTTCACTCATTCACTCACTCTCCCTCATCTCACCCACACTCATTCACACGACAACCAGGCTGCATTCCGTGCTAAGGCCATGGAGCATCATCCAGACAGGAACCAAGACAACCAAGGTATGCTGCTGCACCACGTCCCGCACCTCAACTTTACAGTCACATCAAGTCGTTCCAGTCACACCACATCTTTGTACCAATCCACCCCTCCATGCTGCCCTCACTCATCTCCACTGCGCCAAGCCCTCCCCCCCCCTCTCCTCCCTCCCTCTCCCCACTCTTTCTGCCCTTCTCCCCTCCACCAGAGCGAGCAGCGGCCAATTTCCGCCGTGTCCTCACTGCCTACGAGTTCCTTTCCTCTCGCGGCAAGCACGCAGCCCGCCGCTAACCCTAGGGACGTCCTTGAGGCCCCTCAAAGCAGTCTCACGGCGCACAGCCCGACGCCGCTGACTCGGCTCGGCACACAGCCCGACACTGCCGTCGACTCGGCACGGCACACAGGCCTCGGGTACCTACCCTTACTGCTGCCAGTTTCTGTTGCCCGATTATCTTACAGCGGTAACACTAATGTTACTGTGTGAGTAGTACCAGCTGGCAGGCAGGGCACCTGGTAAGGTGCCTGGAAACATTAGTTTTACACTACAAGAGTCTAGACTAGGCCAGGGTGCAGCAGCATATGAATGAATCATTCTCTAAGATAGGTACGTGAATCGCCTGCAAAATTTCCTGCAGATAGACTGCAGGTTACAGCTCAGGGTTTCGGGTTTACCTGCCATCTATCCATCCAATCCAACGCAGGCAGGCAGGTAATGAATCAGTAGCTGGTAGGAGAAGCCCCTTTTTTGTTGAAGTATACTCATTCATCCCTAACTGACAGTTTTGGTCCTTTTCCTGCCTGCACCTTGGCGATTCGTTCCATTGGACCCTCGGACCGCAGCAGATCTGCAAATAGAGCGGAGCACATGCAACAAGCACTACAGCACTACCTGTAACCTGCAGTCTCTACACATTGGGTGATTCACTTCATTCACACACACACAAAACGTTTGTGGATGCCTGTGTTGTGTCGTGCGTGCACCACACCTATACACAAGACACGCGTGCAAGCCGTGTTTGCTACTTCGTCACACACCAGCTACCGTACGACGAAATTATATTCCTTTAGAGTTGCCTTAGAGCTGAATGCCTGTCATGACCAGAGCCAGCCGAGGCCGAAGCGTAGGAGAGCCGTGGCAGTGTCATGAGTAAGTGGGAGCAGGAAGAGCAGAGCCTGACACACAGAGCAAAGGGTAGAGGGGGCGAGAGGGATGGGCCTGAGAGTGAGTGCTTGTACAGAAGGATGGAAGAGAATGAGGGCGAGTGAGAGACAGGGCAGGGGGGAGAGTGAGTGAGAGAGCGAAAGGAAGAAAGCGCGAAGAGTCCAGTATCACATACCTGTTGCCCCATGCTCTTGACAGCATCTTCATGCAGAGGCAGAGCCGCATGCTGATGAGAGGCACTTGAGCGAGTAGCACTAGCATGCAAGTGGGCAGCACTTGACCTTGCCTTTGGGCCCGTTCGCCCATCACCGGGATGCTGCTGGAATGGTGTGAGCCCACCGGATGGGGATGGGGATGGGGATGGGGATGGGGCGGACAGCAGGGCATGCGTGAGCAGCCCTTGCACCCACGACCAGTTCCCCTGCGCGGGAACAAACCACGTGAGAAAATCTCCCCACCCGTTTGCACCATAACCACCAGCAACACAATCCCCCGAAGCAGCAGCACTAGCAGCAGCAGAGGCAGCAGCAGCAGCAGCAGCAGCAGAAGCAGCAGCCGCAGCAGCAGAGCGACCGCAGCCACTGTGCCAGGAAGAAGCAGCACGAATCACCCCTCGCTCAATATCTAGCATCCTACTCCGCACCCTCCACATGTCCAACCACTCCCTCCCCCTCCCCTCTCCTGTCCCCACACCTGACTGAAGCGCCCCCCACCGCACAGGAATGCACGCTCGTCTTTGAGCCACAGCCTGCCAGCGCTGCCGCTGCTGCAGCAGCAAGAAGCGGGTGCGGAGAAGGGAGGCGTGGTGGGGGGAGGAGCAGCGGGCGAGGAGGCGAGAGAGGGCTGCATGGGATGATGTAGGGGAGGAGGAGCGGTGGGAGGAGAGGGGAGCTAGGAGGAGGTGGAGGGCAGTGCGGAGCATGTTGCTGCTGCTGCTGCTTGATGCGCATTTACTGCTGGTGATGAGGCCGGTGGGAGGGGTGCTGGCGGTTCTGGTGAATGCAGCAGAAGGAGGAAGAGCAGAGAAGCAACGGCTGTTTCGTTTTGGATGCAGCTGAGAGGAAAAGGTGCGGGTGAGTAGACCGAGAAGAACGGCAGCAGACACGCCACCTAGGAAGCACAGCACACCAGTCGCAACGTGCCACCTGTCAAGGCAGCATCCGCCCTGCTGCGCGCCTGTGTCGAGGGAAGCACGTATGGCGGAGCAGGCGTAGTTGTGGGATGAACTTGCATGCGAACAGGGAGAGCAGAGGTGCATTGGAGAAAGCTGCAACACTTGAGCGGATAAGGCAGCAACATTTGCACAACCACCGTTTGTAGCAGCAGCAGGAGCAGCAGCCACAATAGCAGCAGGAGGAGGAAGAGGAAGAGGAGTTTGTTCACGATTTGCAGCACCAGCACAACCACTAGTAATTGCGCATGCACCGTCACCAGAAACTGCAGCAGCAGCCACAACGGAGGGAGCAGCACAGCATTGATTTGCCTCACAGCAGCAGCTGCTGGTAGCAGTCCAGCTGTGCGCACAGCCACTGTCATGTCTCTCAACCAGTATGCTCTCTGTTGTTGCTGCCACTGCCGCCACAGCAGCACACACAGCTTTCTGCTGGTCTCTGACGCTGCTACCGCTGCTGGTATGCTTCTTTCCCTCCTGCTGCTCCCCCTGCGGCCCCCCCTGCTGCTCCCTGCGCTGCTCCTCCTGCTCCTCCTGCTGCTCTTCTTGCCACTGAGGCCACTGATTTAAACCCTGCGATACACACAAGCCTCTCTCCTCCACCCACTCATGCTCTTGCTCCAAGCAAGCAGCAGCGCTCGCACATTCTGTCAATCCCCCCAATCTCTGCAATAGGTCCACGGGTGCTGCCTGGCACCCTGCCTGTGCTGTGCTGCAGACCTCGTTACCAGAATGGTCACATCCGCTATCTCCTTCGCAACTCGGTTTATGACGACCTTCAGTGCCATTCCAAGTGATTCCCTGCTTTCCCTGTCCTGGTCCCTGCGACCAACCTAACTGCTGCTCCTGCTGCTGCGGTTGCAGCTGTTGAAGATTTGGCTGTGGCAGCAGTGGCCACTGCTGCCCCTGTCCCTGTTCCTCCCCCTCCTCCTCCTCCTCCTCCTCCTGCTGCTGCTGCTGATGCTGCTGCTGCTGCTGAAGCTGCAGTCTTTGGTCGTCCTGCTGTCGCTGCATGTGCAGCAGCAGCAGGTCAACCGCAGCATCAAGGAGAGCCGCGTGAGAGGAGTGCTTCTGCCAAGATGGGCTGGTGGGAGCCCAACAGCAGCAACAGATGGTACAGAGGAGCAGCGGCCAGGGTGGGGGGGGAAATGAAACGGGCATTAGACGGGGCTAGCCTGCCCTTGCGTCAGCGGTGGCTGAGCTATTGAGCAGAAGATAGTTATCACTCTAAACAGTTGACAACGTGATAGGAGTCAATGAGCAGAAGATAGTTATCGCCACAAAACTAGACTCCTATCACGCGGTTTTTATACATTGAGCAGAAGATAGTTATCACTCTAAACAGTTGAACATGGAAAAGAAAAGGCAGGCATTTAGAAGCAGGGGAAAGAAAGAAGCAGGGCGAGAAGCAGCGCAAGAAGCAGCGCAAGAAGCAGGGCAGTGGGCCACATACGAGGCAGACGATTCGTGCAACGCCGCGCTCCTCCTGCTGCCTCTCCCGCTGCTGGAACTGCCACTGCCGCTGCTGTTGCTGACTCTGCAACTGCAACAACTTGCTCCTCTACCTGCCATGCTCCTTGATGCACCCCTTCCCTCACTACTCCCATCCAGCGAAGGCCCACCCATTCGCCTCATGCCATTGCTGCCATGGCCACTGGCACTGGGACCAACGCATTGACGCACTAGGCCAACCACTGCTGGCTCAACAGCCTCTCCCTCTAGTGCCAGTGCTGCTGCATGGGATACTGGAAGGGAGGCGCCACCTTGGCAGCCAACGTGGCATGCCAGATAGGATGAGGTTGAAGAGGCGGAAGAGGAGGGTGAGGAGGGGTGATGCGCCACGTGGCAAGTCGCGTTACTAGGCATCTTGGAACAAGAAGGCTGTAAGCGAGACTGAGACGGCGGACCCCAAAAGCGGTTTTCTCTATGGTCTAATGGAAGAGGAGTAACTGGTAGGCTTGCACTGTCACAAGAAAGGTGATTGGATGAGCAGTGAAAGGCGTTCCGGTTAGGGCTATACCGCGTATGCTGGTGTTGGTTATGGTGATGGTGATGGTGATGATGCTGTTGATGTTGCGGGTCGCAGCAGGGGGAGGGTGTTTGCGGGGAGTGGCATCGAGCGGAAGACGAGTGCGGAAAGGGGGAGAGAGACGAACGTGGGGAGTCGGTTGGCTGGGGATCGTAAGAGGAGACGGGGGGAGAGGCATCGACGCGTGATGCTAAGGATATCGCTGCCGCTGAGCAGGGCGCTTGCGCTTCTCTCTCCGCCGCCGCATCACCTTGTAACGAGGAGCATACTGACGAGGACGAGAGTGAGGCGGCGTGAAACTGTGGCGGGGGGAGAGAGAAGTGATGTGGAGCAAAACAAGGCGCGGCAGGCACACCAATCATATCACTGCTCCTGCTTCTGCTGTTGCTTCCGTTACTGCGACCGCTGCTGCTGCTGCTGCTGCTGGCGCTGCTGACGCCGCACCTCCTGCCACTGCAGCTGCTGCCGCGGCTCCAGCCGCTCGCGCTTCTCGTCACCCAACCACCACCACCAGCAGCTCCAGCAGCAGCACCAGCACCAGCACCAGCACCAGCACCAGCACCAGCACCAGCACCAGCACCAGCACTACAACCACCATCCCATGGGAACGACGACGAGACTAACGCAGTGCCGCCGCACATCCCGCAACAGTCAACCCTGGAGGCAACGTCACGTGTGCTCTGAGCCACCTCTGGGCAGGATATAGCTCTCTGGTTACCACGCGAGGAAATGTCGCCCATGTGCCGTGATGCCACATCACCAACACCACATGATGTCGCACCGCTATAATCACATGATGCTGCTGGATTACATGTGCTCATAGCAAACTGATTAGCGCAGTCATCAGCATTCCCACCATTGCTCGATTCCCCTCCCATTACACCCCGCGTTTCTCCTCCCCTTTCCGCCTCCGCCTCTTGCGCCTCCTCTTCGCACTCCCGCTGGTCCGCCATCCACGAACCCCCACTCTCCGCGCGCCTGTCTTTTCCTACGGTCGCGCGCCCCCAACTCTCACCCGCTATAATTATCGCATCCCACGCACGCACTGCTGCCGCCGTGGCACTCGCTGACGTGTCCACGGCATTCGCGGTCGTGTCCACGACCCTCCCTGACGTGTCCATTTCCGTCGACACATGCGCCCCTTGCATCATTATCTTTTCGCAACCTTGCCCCTACTCGGATGATACGGGATGAGCAATGGTAATAAACCAGCTACCCGCAACCCACCTCGTCGCCGTTCCGGTGCGGCGCTGTCTATTGAAAGAGAGTGCGCGATATTCTACAGCACAGCGCCTCCCGCGCGCGCGGCGGCGACGCTACCGTCCCCCCGTATAGCGCAGCCTGCCTCGCGATCTGGATCGCGATCAACCGCGGACGCGCACTGTTACTAGGCGATCGCGGATCACGCCCGGCAGCAGCACTGCGATGAATCTGATCCGCGCAGGAAGGCCCATTCCTGCCAAACACCAGCAAATTTTCCGTCACTGTTTGGCACTAGAGCGCGGGGGGAGCCAGATGGGGAGAGGTGCATTGTGCAAGTGCTAGGAGCACCGCAGCGAGGTGAACGCCCTCTGCGCTGACGAGCGACTGCCTGTCTTCCACGGTCCACCGCGCCACAGCTCGCCTTGAGCCCTGGGGCGGGCGAGTTGCAGCAGTCGCTGCGGAGTGGAGCTGAGGGATGCAGGAAGCTGGGGGGGGAAAGATAAGCGCGCGGAACATGAACACCCTAAACCTCGTTATGGTAAAATCGCGCAGCATAAAAAATCAGGTAGCGTCAATGACGAGATCGGCTTCCTATCAAATTGCGTCCGCGCAATTTCGGAGTGCCTTGTACCGAACGTGGCTGTTGTTCCAAACATCAAAAGCCGGAAACGGGTAGAATCAGCCCCGTTTCTCAAGCCCCGAATGACCAAATTTGCAAACAAACAATCCACGTGATGGGAAGCACGCGCGCATGCGCGATGGTTTGCAACTCCATTTTGCTTTAAGGGTTTACCCACACCATGGCCTTTGACCGTTCGGCTCCCGACCCCGAAACCTGTTTCGGGGTGTAGGAAAATACAAACATTGGTAGGCCCCATCAGCAGTCATGTATTGTCAAATTTCGCTAAAGACAAGCGCAGCCGTCCTTTCCAGAACATTTAACCATAACGAGGTTTAGGGTGTATATAGTTTCGGGCAAACACCAGCGGGGCCGGTTCCAGCAAACGTCGCCACGGGCAAAAAGGGTATTCGAGGACGGTGGCTACCCGTTTCGATTTTGGCGATCATTGGGTCGCATCGCAACGCGAAGAGGGGGGAGAGAGGGGGGGTGGGGAGGAGGGGCAATGGCGGAGGGTGGGGGGAACCGTGGGTTTGGGGACGAATGACGTGGCGAGGAGGAAAAGGCAGAGAAGCTGGCGGTGACAGCATATATCTACAGTGGTGCGACTCATGTATTGTTTAGGGTACAAGATCAACAGCAGAAAATTTATTGTCTTTCAAATCATGTATTTGTATGGTGGTGTTTGCTTAGAATACCCATGGTATCAAGTCATTAAACCAACCTCGATACAAAATATATGTTACCACGATTATTTGAAATGCAAGGAGTTTAAAGTCATGCTCTTGGGGGTCGAAGGCAGATATCCATACAGATTCAGATCAGAGGCTGCACCTGGTCGAGTATTGGTGACTCCTAAAACGAGGTACGGTAGAGCTTCCTGTTCAGTCCAGCCCTCGGCTGATGTACCAAACGCGTTCAGCCACTATCTCCGTCATTGTCGCCTTTCTCCCCATTTTCGTCCTTGATGCACCGCAGTATCGATCAAGCAGCGTCCTTTTTGCTACCGTGTAGCATTCCTGCCCTTCTGTGTGTCCGTGCTGCTCCTGGGCCTAATTTATTCGCTGCCGGTTTTGGCTCCACCAGCGCAGCTTTATGCTATTTCGCACTGCTAATTTCTCTTGAAGCGTAGCTGGAGGAAGAGTCGTCAGGAAAATAACTCCATGGGAAATGGACAATCGCACGAGGATTCCGATTCGGGAACCGAGGATGAGCTTAGCGGGTCGGAAGAGGAGGACGAAGAAGTAGAAAGCGAGGAGGACGACGAGGACGAGGGAAAGGCAGCGAAGGACGGGAAGTCGGTAAAGACCGCCTCTCGCGGAGGCACTAGCGAGGGTCCACGTGGCACGAAGACGGTGTCGGGAAAAGCGGCTGATGCAACAGAGAGTGGAAACAGCGCGGGGGGAGGAGGAGGAGAAGGAGAAGGAGAAGGCAAGCTTGGAAATGGAGGGAGCGCGACGGCGAGAGGAAGTCACAGCGGAGAGGGAGGAAGCGCCGGAGCCGGAGGCACGTTGATGAGCGGCGCTGGTGGGTTGGAGGGAGCAGGTGACGCAGTCGAGCAGACGGAGAGCGGCGGTAACGCAGGGGACTGGGACCTCGCATGGGACGATGAGGAGGAGGAGGGGGAGAAGAAGGCGGAAGGGAAGGCGGAGGGGAAGGCGGAGGGGAAGGAAGACGGGAAGGCGGCGAAGGGTGGCGGAAAGGAGAAGGGGGTCAAGGCAGCAGGGGTGGAAAGAGAGGAGAGTGATGGAAAGGAGGAGGGGGAGGTGGCGGCGAGGGATGGAGAGAAGAGTTCGGACGAGACAAGCCGGGTGTTGGGAGGTGAAGCGGGGGTGAATGGAGCAGAGTGGGGCAAAGCTGGTGTGGCTAGCAATGCGGCTAGCAGTGCAGGATCTTTAGCTGCTGCAGCAGCAGGCACAGCAGGGCTTGCTGCGTTCATAACGCCTGCTCCTGCTCCTGCTGCTGCTGCTACTGCTGCTGCTGCGGCCCCCGCTCCTTCTCCTTCTGTTCCGGTTGCCACCACGCCTGCTCCTCCTGCTGTGTGTGACCCACCGTCTGCTGGTGCTGCTGGTTCTGCTGCTGCTGCTGCTGCTGCTTCCAGGGCCATGGGAGGGGGCGGTGTGGTGCAGGCGTGGCATGAGTTCGCGGAGAGCAAGGGGCCGTTGATGGACGCCTCTCGGTCGCTGTCGTCGCACCCCTTCATGCACGGCCCCGCCATGCCCCGCGCCGACATCTGCACCGAGTTCTACATCATCCGGTACGGCGAGTCACCAGGTCCCCCCCCATCTGACGGTGATTGTGTCTTGCCTTTTCTGAGAATTCTCACAATTCACCTGCCATGCCCCGTGCCGACATCTGCACCGAGTTCTAACTTCTGCATCATCCGGCACGTACGGCAAGCCACAAGCCCCATCAGTAAGTGGTTGCTCAACACGCACCGAGTTTGACATCGTCAAAAAGGGCGAGCCCTTTCTGTAGGTGATTCTGAGAACCCTCACAACTCACCCGCCTTGCCTCGTTCCCCGCGCGGACATCTGCACCGAGTTCTACATCATCCTTGTGGCGAGTCGCGAGGCCCTCCATCTGTAGGTGATTGTGTCTTGCCGATTCTGAGAGAGAACTCTCAAAACTCACTGGTCAGTCATGCCGCGAGGCGAAATGAGCACGGAGTTATACATTAACAGAACTCACTGGTCAGTACAATGATCCCCGTTTCGTTTGTGAGAATTCTCAGAGACCACCTGTATGAGACTTACCCATCTTTGGGTCGACTCAAAAGAATTCTCAGAGACTAACTGTATGAGACACACCCATCTGCCCCCCCTGGTTCGTCGCATCTCGCCGCTTCGGGTTTCAGCTCTCGTTACTATCGTCTAATCTCTGCCTATTGCTACTCCTATGATCTGTACATGCTCTGCTCCAGTCTTTTGCCACCTGATACGTATGTACTCCTGTGCAGCCTTCTCCTCCTGGCCTCTCAGCAAAGTTGACTTTTGAGTCGATTCAATAGTCACTCGTGTGCAGCCTTCTCCTCCTGGCCTCTCGACACAAGCCCCTCTGTGCCAGTGCTTCTGCATCGCAGCTCGCCCGCAAATAGCTACCTACCTACCTACCACACACACAACATATCATCAACACATTGCGCCATGGATGCTCGGTTTGTGTCTGATCACGCATGCCCATGCCGGTGCCAGCATGGTATCACTAGGTCAACAGCGCCCTGATTTGATCATGCTTTGACGTTGGCCAAGCCAACCCTGGCATCAACGCCTGACGCCCCACAACCATGTTACTGACTCACGCACCTACTTTGCTTGCGACACGCCCTAACTAGCTCCTCCTATGGCCCTTTCCCTTATGTCTCCTCAACCACCCCCTCTCCCCCTCTCCCCCTCTCCCCCTCTCCCCCTCTCCTCCTCTCCCACTCTCCCCTCTCCTCCTCTCCCCCTCTCCCCCTCTCCCCCTCTCCCCTCTCCTCCTCTCCCACTCTCCCCCTCTCCTCCTCTCCCCCTCTCCCCCTCTCCCCCTCTCCCCCTCTCCTCCTCTCCCCCTCTCCCCCTCTCCCCCTCTCCCCCTCTCCTCCTCTCCCCCTCTCCCCCTCTCCCCCTCTCCCCCTCTCCCCCTCTCCCCCTCTCCCCATCACCCCCTCTCCCCCTCGTCCACATCTCCCTCAGTCATGGGGAGGCAGCTCACAACGTGTCCACGCTGAAAGGGGGCCAGTCTTGAGGCGCCTCAGGAGTCGACCCTCATCTTCCCATCTTCCCATCTTCCCATCTTCCCATCTTCCCATCTTCCCATCTTCCCATCTTCCCATCTTCCCATCTTCCCATCTTCCCATCTTCCCATCTTCCCGTCTTCCCGTCTTCCCATCTTCCCATCTTCCCATCTTCCCATCTTCCCATCTTCCCATCTTCCCATCTTCCCATCTTCCCATCTTCCCGTCTTCCCGTCTTCCCGTCTCCAAAACGTCCCATCGTCCCCCATGTGTTGCTCAGCCACGGGGAGGCAGCTCACAACGTGTCCACACTGATAGGGGGCCGGTCGCCGCAGGCGGCGCTCACCCCGCTGGGCGAGCAGCAGGCGGTGCTGCTGGGGCGCTACCTGCGCGACTACGTGGGGCTGCCCTTTCACGCCGTCTTCTCCTCGCCCATCGAGCGCGCCAAGCGCACCGCCATACTCGCCTGTCAGGTGCGTAGCGATGGGAAAGGGTCCCCAAAGGACACTACATACGTGGGGCGGCCTTCCATGCTCTCTTCTCATCTCCCATTGAGCGCGCCAAGCGCACAGCCATACTGGTATGGCAGCGGACTACCTTGGGTTGAGACCACATAGGCCTGCTGTCCCTGTGCTTCCACGTCATCGTCTCTTCGACCAATGAGTGCCAGCAAAGTGCACCGCCATTCTGGCATGGCAGGATCGTAGGGTGACTTTGAGTCGACTCACATGGTACCACAGCGACTACGTGGGGCTGTCCTGCCCTGCCCTGCCCTGCCAGGTCAGCTTTGATGAGAAAGAAAGAGGGTTCCGCTGTCCATTGCTTCTCTTCCTTTCTTCCCTGCCTCCCCTTTGCTCCATCCCTCCACAGTCCACCTCCTCCCCCCCCACCCGCACACACATACACACTCCCCCCGCCTTCTCTTGGACGTTATCCTCTCACCCGCACACCCTATCCGATTCTCCCTTGATCCCTGCCCCCTCCCTCCATTCCCCATGGAATCTTTTCCGCAGCCTCCAAACCAATCCTCTAACACGCCACCTGCACCATCACCCCACGCCCACCCTCTCCCGAATCCCCCTTTAACCCCCCACCCCCCCTCACTCCAGGAGATGGGGGTGTCGGAGGCTGTGATCCGGTACGCGGACGAGCTGCAGGAGCATTAGCCGTCTCACAACCCCCCAATCCTGCTTCCCCCATTACTCACTCCCTTCCTCTCGCCAGGAGATGGGTGTGTCGGATGCTGTGATCCGCTACGCGGACGAGCTGCAGGAGCTGAGTCAGGGGCAGTGGGAGCGGCAGCCGCGCGCACGCATCTACCAGCGCGGCGTGCTGGAGCAGATGGTGGCCGCCCAGCCCGACTTCAGGGCGCCTGGAGGGGAGAGCCAAAGACAGGTAAGCATGGCTTGTGGACATGGGTATGGGTATGGGGCGGAATGGGGTTTTGAGGCCGTTCAAACAGCATCTACCAGCGGGGCGTGCTGGAGCAGATGGTGGCGGCTCAACCCGACTTCAGGCCGCCGGGGGGGAGAGCCAGAGACAGGCAAGCACTGGTTGAGGTGGGAAGGGAAGTGTAGGGAAGGGAAGGGGTTTTTAGGGCGCTTTAGAAGGCATCTACCAGCGGGGCGTGCTGGAGCAGATGTTGGCCGCCCAGCCCGACTTCAGGGCGCCCCGGGGAAAGAGCCAGAGACAGGCAAGCACGGGATGGGAAGGGCAGGGCAGGGCGGGGCAGGGCAGGTTAGGGGAGGAGCAGGACAGCTGAGCTTTCGCTCATGGGGGCTTGGCAACTGCGTTGTTGGGACAGAGGGAGATTGTGTTGTGAGTGGGGCTGAACGCGGTGGGGTGCGGTTGAGCTAGGTTGCAAGGGGTAAGGAGAGTGAGGCCTGTGTGCTAATCGGTGCAGGTGATGGGTTGGGGGCCATGACCCTGCGGACTGCTTCACATGACTGTAACTTTCTCCTCGGGCAGAAAAAATTACTGTGGTTTTCCTTACCCTCCACCTCTGCCAACTTTCGTCTGCCCACCCTGTCTCACACACACCCCCCTTTGAAATTTCTCAGGTTGAGTTTCGGATGGTTGAGTTTGTAAGCAACATCGTTTTCGTTCGGCAGCACCTGGAAGCTCTCGCATCCACTCCATCTGCACCACCCTCCACCGCACAACACCCTTCAGCCTCTAATCTGCCCACTGCAGCTGACTCCAAGCAGCCTTCTGCTAAGCTCCAGGCTACTGCTGACCCCAGCGATTCAAATTCCACTGTTTCTGCTTCCGGAACTAATGGTGTCAACAGCACTCCAGCAACTGCTAGCAGCAGCAGCAGTAGCAGAGACACCAGCAGCACTGGCAGTGCCAGCACTGCACAGGGAAGTGGAGCAGCAGGAGATGACCATGTGTTCCGAGTGGCCGTCTTTTCTCACGGCACAGCAATACGGTGCCTTGTGCGCGGTGTGCTGGGTTCAGACCCCCACATGACCCACAATATTGGCATCGACAACACGTCCATCTCTGTACTCCGTCACACAGCTCGGAAAGGGTGGCATCTGGTCAAGATGAATGACACTACACATCTCATTCTCGCCCGTGGTCCAAAACTGAATGCATCCAATATGCATTGATGTAAGTTTTTGAACCCGTAAACTAGGTGTAAGATGCCTAGTTGTAAGGAATTAAGATTCCTTACTGGGGCTCGCTTCAGCGAGTACATGCGAACCTCTCGGGTCTGCAGGCTCGGCCCTTGGTTCTCGCGCCACACCGGCCCCCGCCGACCTATTCAGCCCCAACCTCATCCAGAGTCGCCCCGAACCCAATTTGACCCCGTCACCCTCAGGGACTTACGAGCCCTTGACTGGTCCAACCCTCGACATCCAGCCCTGGTGAATCGCCCTATATATTGCCTAGACCTCATTTTTATCAACACTGTCAACTAGAATGAATGATCGAAAAGTGGTACAAGGGGGATGTATGTGTTCTGGTTGTACCCTCTAACACCCTACAATTATCTAGCCTATAACTTCTACATAGCAACATATGTATAAGTTGACACACCCCCTAGGCAAGATAAGAGGTAGTGCAGAGTAAGAAACACACTGCTCAAGGTGGCACGCTACTAGTCCAACCTCTAAGGCAGGGGTCCAAAGACCAGTTAGCAAGAGTACAAACAAGACAAGAGCAAACTAGGGCGGCACTACTAGTCCGACCACTGGAACAGTAGCCACAAGGCCAGTCTGGAAGGCATAAATATAGAGGAGTACACAATCAAGGTCCTAGTAAGTGAGAGTCTACAGGAACTAGACCTAGCTGCAAGCAGTGCCGCTGATGATCTTTAGGCGCAAGCGCCTTAGTAAAGATATCAACTGTGTTAGCACCGGAGGCCAAGTATACTACGCGGGCCTGGCGACGCTGCAGTAGCTCGCGCAGGAGGAAGTACCGAAGCTGAATATGCTTCGCTCTGCCCTCAAGTCGAGGCTCCTGACATAGGAGGATCATGGTGTCAACTTATACATATGCTGTATGTAGAAGTTATAGGCTAGCCTAGGTGTGTGCTTCTAGTGAGTACAAGCCCAACAGGTAAATGTTCTAGGTTTCTCACACTAGTCATCGATTCACGCATTCTAACATGGTATCCCGAATAGGTTAGGTCCACCCACCCGCTTCCGCCCGCGCCCTAGCCTATCGCCCCCTACCTAACCCTCGCGCCCGTCCGGCCCTTAGCGCCCGCTCGGCCTGTAGCGCCCGCCCGCCCCTTAGCGCCCGTCCGGCCCGTCGCCCCCGCCCGGCCCGTAGCACCCGCCCGTCGCGCCCATAGCATCCGCCCGGCCCGTCGCACCCTCCTAGCCCCGTCGCGCCCGCCTGGCCCCTATGCGCCCGCCTGGCCCCTCCGTGCTACCCTGGCCCCTAGCGCCCGCCTGGCCCCTCCGCGCCCGCCCGGCCCCTCCTCGCGCCCGCCCGGCCCGTCGCACCCTCCTGGCCCCGTCGCGCCCGCCTGGCCCCTTAGCGCCCGCCTGGTCCGTCGCGCCCGCCTGGCCCCTCCGCGCCCGCCCGGCCCGTTGCGCCCGCCCGTCCCACAGCGCCAGCCCGGCCCCTCCTAACGCCCGCCCGGCCCCTCCTAACGCCCGCCCGTCCCCTCCTGGCGCCCGCTCGGCCCGTTGTGGCTGCCCGTCCCACAGCGCCCGCCCGGCCCCTCCTAGCGCCCGCCCGGCCCGTTGCGGCCGCCCGGCGTGTGAGAGTACGACCCCGTTACACCATTTGTTCCTTTCCTTATTTCCTTTCCATTCCATTTCTCTTTTTATCTCATCTCATTTGATTTCATATTCTCCATTTCCCATTATCCTTTGGTTTATCCTGTTATTCTCATTATATCACCAACCAGGCTCGGGATGTACTGGTGCGCTATATCTAGCGTAATCCTGCCGTAATACCTTAAAGCCAATAGCCTCGCGTGGCTATACGCAGGGTGATTCTATTTTCTAGAAGGGTCTATTCCCTTGGGATAAGATAAACCAAGTTACCTGATGTACTTAGGAAGTATAAGAGCGCCTTGTACTGATCGATAGTGGAACCTTTCCTCGACACATTCGATCCTGTAACACGGCCCCTCCTAGCGCCCGCCCGGCCTCTCCTAGCGCCCTCCCGGCCCCTCCTAGCGCCTGTCCGACCCCTCCTAGCGCCCGCCCAGCTCCTCCTCTCGCCCGCTCGGCCCCTCCTAGCACTGGCCCGGCCCCGATACGCCCGCCCGTCTCCTGCGGCCCGCAGCTCCCAGTGCCCGCCCAGCTCCTGCGGCCCCGTGTCTTCTACTCGGCATGATTCCTCGAGTCTCCGGCCCCGTGTCTTCTGCTTGCCCGCGCTGGAGCGTCTTACAGCCGTCCTCCTGGAGCTGTGCTGCTGTGTCCTGTGGAGCTGTGCCGCTGTGTCCCTGTGTCGCTGACCCTGCACGATGGCTGACTTCGTACTCTGCCTGGACGCAGAGGGCCACGCGGTTGACTTCGTCGCCTGGCTGTCCGATCTCCGCCGCCAACTCACAGGTCAGCGCCAGGATGGGCACTCCTTGGTTGTCCATGCTGATGGCTTGCTCCCTCGCCCCCCTACGCCTGCTCCCCTCCCTATTGACCCCACTTCTGCTGAGCGTGACGCTTTCTCTGCTACTGCACTTGCCTGTGCCATCTGGGACTCTCGCGATGCAGTTGCTCAGGTACCTATCAGTCACGCCCTCCCTGTGTCTGAGCGTTCGCGTTTCTCTATAGTTGATACAGCCAGGGCTTACTTAGATGCTGTTGTTGCTCGCTATTCCACGCCTGCCTCCGCTACTGCAGGCTGCCTGCTCTTCCCTATGCTTTTCCCCGACCTTGCTTCCTTCCCTACAGTTGCTGACCTTGCCACTCACCTGCGAGCCCTAGAGTCTCGCTACCGCACTGCTAGCACTGCTGCCCAGCTTACTGTGCTCCCTCCACCCCTCTGCATGACCCTCTACTTTATCGCTATGCGCCTACCTTACCGCCTTGCTAGTGCACGGGACCACATCCTTAGCCAGTACCTGGCTGATCTCACCCTGACAGCCTTTGTCACCGCCCTGACAGAGATCGAGACTCGCCAGCGCACTATCGCTCAGTCGAGCGGTGAGCCGGCAGTCTCTATCTTTCACAGCTGTGCCCCCTCCCAGTGCACGTTTACTGACGTTTCGGTTGTGGTCGCCACTGCGACCCCTCTGACCAAGATTGCAGCTGCGGCACACCCGCAGCAGCGCCCGCGCCGCACCAGTCATTGCCACCAGGGAGGGCGTGGTGGTGGAGCTAGTGGTGGTGGTGGTGGTGCCGGGGATAGTGGTTCTACTGAGGGGACTGCCGCAGCTAGTCAGGAGCAGCCGCCGTCGCCGCAACAGCAGGAGCAGCCGCAGCAGCCGTCGCAGTAGCTGTCCCAGCCCCCGCCATGGGCTCGTCTCCCGCCGGGTTGGCCCGGCACCTCCGTCGGTGGTGGCCGTGGTGGCGGCCTGCGCAGCTTGGCCCCGGACCTCCCCGACTGGCACAGCCTGCTTCGCCAGGGCGTGCCGATCTTTGAGTTAGATATGGATCAGATAGGTGGTGCTTTGCATGCCTTGTATGCTGACGCTTCTAGTGTTGCTGGATCTTATTACTCTGTGTACTCTAGTTTAAGCGTAGCACCCTTGTGTAGCTCAGCCTCCCCTGCTGCGTCAGGCGTAGGACTGCCTAGTTTGCCTAGCCTAGTTTCTGCACCGGCTCCGTTCCCGGCCTCGGCTACTGCCTCGCTCTCCTTCACTCTCGACTCCGGTGCTTCTGCCTGTTTCTTTTGTGACCGCTCCTCGCTCACGCCGCTTGCTGCATTGCTGTTGTTGCTCTCGCTGACCCATTTGCAGGTCCTGTCGTCGCTCGCAGCTCCACTTCCCTTCCCTGTCCAGCCGTTCCCTCGGGCTCTCTTACAGGCCTCCACGTTCCCTCGTTCTCTTGGAACCTGGTTGGTGTCGGCTGTCTTCAGGACCTCGGCGTCACCACTATGTTCCTTGGGTACGAGCAGTTCGCTGTCTGTACCGAGGCTGTCTCATGTTCCCCCCTTGCGACGTTCCCCCGGGACCCGGTGTCCGGTCTGTTTACCCTCGACACCGCTTCCCCCATGGCTTGTGCGCCCTCCCAGGTCGCTGCAGCTTGCTCGTGTCGATCCCTCACTCACCCGCCCCTTTTGTGGCACCACCGCCTAGGTCACCCTGCTCTCCCGCAACAGCGTCACATGTCTCAGCACGGTCTTGTCTTGGGTCTCCCCGCGTCGCTCCCCGCCCTTCCACCCTCGACTGCGCCACCGTGCACGCCTTGCGTCGAGGGCCGGCTCCGCCGTGCCCCTCACTCCTCCTCGCTTCGCCCTGCTACTACTCCCCTTCAGACCCTGCACCTGGACGTTTGGGGCCCAGCCCCCGTCCCCGGACCGCGCGGTGAGCGCTACTTCCTTGTGCTCATCGACAACTACACGCGCTACACCACGGTGTTTCCCCTGGAGCGGAAGGCCGACGTGCCCGACGTTCTTCTCCCGTGGGTTATAGCTGCACGTCTTCACCGCGGTCTCCCCGTGTTGTGTCTCCACTCTGACCGTGGCAGCGAGTTCGCCTCTGGTCGGCTTGGACAGTTCTGTCGTGCGGAGGGCATCACCCAGCCGTACACCTTGCCGGACTCGCCACAGCTGAATGGGGTTGCTGAGCGCCGCACCTTGGTCATGGAGGTCGCCCGTACCTCCATGATTCATGCCGATGCCCCCCATTTTCTGTGACCGTTCGCTGTTCGCTACGCTGCTCACCAGCTTAACTTGTGGCCCCGCTCCCAGCGGCCGCAGGTTTTGCCGACCCTCCTTTGGACTGGGTCCCCTGGTGACGCGTCTGCGATCCACGTCTGGGGTTGCCTTGCTCACGTTCGTGCCTCTGGCACAGGAAAGCTCACTGCCCGCACTGTCCCCTGTGTCTTCCTTGGTTTCCCCCTGGACTCGTCTGACTGGCTCTTCTACCACCTGCAGTCTCACTGCTTCCTACACTCTCGTGACGTCACCTTTGACAATTTTGTCTCCTTCTACCATCGCTTCCCTCACCGAGGTCTCTCGGTTTCCCCCCCCATGTTCCTTGCTCCCTCTCCCCCGGTAACCCCTCCTCCTCTCCTGCCTCATCTTGCCCCGTCCGGTGTCTCTCATGTCACTCCCCTCCCGTCGTGCCCCTGCTAGTCCGCGGGTCGAGCACCAGTCGCCGCAGCAACCGCCGCAGCCGTCGCCGCCGGTCTCCGTTCTTCGCCTGCTCGGCCTTCACTCCCCTGACCGCTCGCCGATGACTCCCCCACCACCTTCTAACCTTCTTGTTTATGGCCCTGTGTTCGCGCCGCCGGACTCGTCTCCGGCCCGTCTTCCTCCGCGTTCCTCTTTTGTGTCCCCTCTGCTATATCCTGACCCTATCCCTCCGTCCCACATCTGGTCTCGCCGTCCCTCACATGCTTGTCCCGTCTCTCCTGTCCTGCGCTCCCACCCTA